AGTACTGTAGCTTAGGTTTTACTAGTGACCGTAAACATGGTAAAAACAACTGAGACATTTACTGATCAGAGACCGAGCTATAGTACTGTAGCTTATGTTTTACTAGTTACCGTAAACATTGTAAAAACAACTGTGACATTTACTAATCATAGACCGAGCTATAGTACTGTAGCTTAGGGTTTAATAGTTACGGTAAACATGGGAAAAACAACTGTGACATTTACTGAGAGACCAGTACTGTAGCTTAGGTTTTACTAGTTACCATAAACATGGTAAAAACAACTGAGACATTTACTGATCAGAGACCGAGCTAAAGTACTGTAGCTTAGGTTTTACTAGTTACCATAAACATGGTAAAAACAACTGAGACATTTACTGATCAGAGACCAAGCTATAGTACTGTAGCTTAGGGTTTAATAGTTACGGTAAACATGGGAAAAACAACTGTGACATTTACTGATCAGAGACCAAGGTATAGTACTGTAGCTTAGGTTTTACTAGTTACCATAAACATGGTAAAAACAACTGTGACATTTACTAATCAGAGACCGAGCTATAGTACTGTAGCTTAGGGTTTAATAGTTACGGTAAACATGGGAAAAACAACTGTGACATTTACTAATCAGAGACCGAGCTATAGTACTGTAGCTTAGGTTTTAATAGTTACTGTAAACATGGTAAAAACAACTGTGACATTTACTAATCAGAGACCGAGCTATAGTACTGTAGCTTAGGTTTTACTAGTTACCGTAAACATGGTAAAAACAACTGTGACATTTACTAANTTACCAGTTACCGTAAACATGGTAAAAACAACTGTGACATTTACTGATCAGAGGCCAAGCTTATAATGGTACTGAAGCTTAGGTGTTACTAGTTACCGTAAACATGGTAAAAACAACTGTGACATTTACTGATCAGAGACCAAGCTATAGTATTGTAGCTTAGATTTTACTAGTTACCGTAAACATGGTAAAAACAAGTGTGACATTTACTGATCAGAGACCAAGCTATAGTATTGTAGCTTAGATTTTACTAGTTACCGCAAACATGATAAAAACAAGTGTGACATTTACTGATCAGATCTACCAACCTATAATACTGTAACTTAGGTTTTACTTTGGTTTTACTAGTTTTAAAATGGCCCATATTTTCCCGCAATTTGTCCAGATTAATTACCAATAATAAAAAAAACAGGTAGGAAAGAAAAATAATTGTGTGCACTCATGGGTAATTTATAAATTACCTAGAGTATAGTATATTATTAAAAACTTTGGACAAAGGCAAAATTAGATATATGTTTTTGTCGATGTTAATTGGCCTTTGACGCTGATAAGCCCCTGACTGTAAACAAGGTAAAACAACTTATTAATAAGGTTACTAGCTACAGTAAGCACTTTAGTAGTGAGTCTTCTGAGACATGATATTCTACATATACAGACTGTTAGTTCAAAGTTTTGTGTTTGCTCAATTACTAACCCTGTATGACGTCCACTGGTAGGGGGAAAAGTCCCAAGCTGTTATATTGTGTCAACACATTGAAATGATATCTGCCAGAGCCATCATAGCGAGCTAGCCCAGAGGTGCTTAGAGAGACACCAATAAAATATTACATAGGAGGAAAAAAAAAAATATAAGTCTGATGTGTTCCATTGGGACAATGGCTTTCTGATACACTGTCAATGCCTTTCTGATATACTGTCAATGCCTTTCTGATATACTGTCAACGAATTTCTGATATACTGTCACTGCCTTTCTGATATACTGTCAATGCCTTTCTGATATACTGTCAATGCCTTTCTGATACACTGTCAATGCCTTTCTGATATACTGTCAATGCCTTTCTGATATACTGTAAATGAATTTCTGATATACTGTCAATGAATTTCTGATATACTGTCACTGCCTTTCTGATATACTGTAAATGCCTTTCTGATACACTGTCAATGCCTTTCTGATATACTGACAATGCCTTTCTGATATACTGTCAATGCCTTTCTGATACACTGTCAATGCCTTTCTGATATACTGTCAATGAATTTCTGATAAACTGTCAATGACTTTCTGATACACTGTCAATGCCTTTCTGATACACTGTCAATGCCTTTCTGATATACTGTCAATGCCTTTCTGATACACTGTCAATGCCTTTCTGATATACTGTCAATGCCTTTCTGATATACTGTCACTGCCTTTCTGATATAATGTCAATGCCTTTCTGATATACTTTCACTGCCTTTCTGATACACTGTCAATGCCTTTCTGATAAACTGTCAATGCCTTTCTGATATACTGTCACTGCCTTTCTGATATACTGTCAATGCCTTTCTGATATACTGTCACTGCCTTTCTGATATACTGTCAATGCCTTTCTGATATACTGTCACTGCCTTTCTGATATACTGTCAATGCCTTTCTGATATACTGTCAATGCCTTTTTGATATACTGTCAATGCCTTTCTGATATACTGTCAGTGCCTTTCTGATACACTGTCAATGCCTTTCTGATAAACTGTCAATGCCTTTCTGATATACTGTCACTGCCTTTCTGATATACTGTCAATGCCTTTCTGATATACTGTCACTGCCTTTCTGATATACTGTCAATGCCTTTCTGATATACTGTCAATGCCTTTCTGATATACTGTCAATGCCTTTCTGATATACTGT